CCCCGGGGCGGAGGCCTCGCCCACCGGCTGTTCCTCTTCAGCCGGCCGGGTTCGCTTTGCCCTGGAGGGTCGCCGCGCTCTCCAGGCCCCGCCGCCTCCTCTTCTGGCTTCCCAAGTCTTCCGCGCTCCCCCCACCCCCGCCGCCTCCTCTCTCTTGTTTAACGCCCCCCCCTTCTCCTTTTCCACCTTCCACCCCTGGCCCGGGCTCTCCTCCCTCCGACCTCTTTTTTTTTTTTTTTTTAAGATTTATTTATTTATTTATTTGAGAGAGAGAGAATGAGAGATAGGAGCACGAGAGGGAAGAGGGTCAGAGGGAGAAGCAGACTCCCCGCCGAGCAGGGAGCCCGATGCGGGACTCCATCCCGGGACTCCAGGATCGTGACCTGAGCCGAAGGCAGTCGCTTAACCAACTGAGCCACCCAGGCGCCCCTCCCTCCGACCTCTTATTTCCTGCCCCAAGAAGCAGCCGCGCCCACTGCGCCCTGCAGAAGGGGAAAAGAACCGTCTAGTACACAGCGGCTCCCTATCACACTTGTCAAGCCTTGGGCTTCCCGTGCACGATCTCATTTAAACCTCAAGAGCGCCCTTAATAGGCACGTCCGCATTTACTGCCCTCATTTGGAGAGGCTGTAGCCGCGGTCTGGACTCTGGAACCTGCCTTGGCATCTTGGCAGCTTACCAGCTGTGTGACCTCGGGGGGGAGGGGGGAGTCACTCCAAACTCTCTCTGTGCCTCAGTTGCTTCATCTCCAGTTTCTTCCTCTAGGGGTTGTTGTGAGGATTAAAGGAACGATGACGCAGGTCAGCCCCAGCAAGAATTTCCGGTCCCCTTCCAGGGCCTTCTAGATTGATTCAGAATCAAATTGACAGCAGATTAACAGGGGAAAATCAAATTTAATTGTATACACACGGGGAATCCACACAGACGCGGACATTCCAAAGACAGGCAAAACAAGGTGTCATCCCGAACTAAGGAGAGGTGGGTCCGGGTCTGGGACTTCACAGAGGAACGCACTTCACGGGACAATAAAAAGAAGAGCAGGTGTCTGGCAGTGAGATGTTTGCCCTGCCAGACAGATGTGTCACTCAGATAAAATTCATCTCTGGTAATAACCCTTATTCTGGACAAGACCTCCCAATTTAGATTCTTTTGTGTAGTTAAGGGAGAGACAAAAGTTTCTCTTGAGCTCATGTGGTCTGGATTGCCTCAGCTCAAAATGGTCCACATGCCGTGGTGGCCCATCTTGGGGCAGCCGGCCCTTGGTCCCTCCAGCATTATGTGTGTGTTAGCTGTGATTAGATATTATTTGGCAGAAAAGGAAACCAAGACAGAGAGCTTGACTTACCCTAGGTCACAGCTGCAAGAGGCAGTCAGGATTCAAATCTAGGTCGATTTTATGCCGACCAAGGGCTACATGAGGCGTCCCCTGAGACTGCAGAGTGTAACTCAAGCAAGGACATTTTCAGTGGCTCTGTCGGCTAAAGAGGACAATGGAGGCAAAGAAGGGCTAAGAGCGATTTGGCCAGAATCCAAGAAGAATTTTGTTAAGTTAAAAAGAATCCCAAGTTCCTCCCTGTCTCTCTTTTTGAAAAGCCACATTGATAATAACAGTGCAGAGGAAAGGGGCAGTCAGCAGTCTGTGAGGGTAAGAAACCCCAGGCGCGCAGCTGCTTTGAGGCTTATCTCGTTATTTCCTACAATTTACTAACACAGGACGATAAAGGAACCTTTTCTAAAAGGCATCACAAGGCCTAGATTCAGAGGACTCGTTCTGATTGCGGAAAACTTGCTCTGCTCTCAGATTGGAGACTGCTTACTTTTCATACTTTGTGACTTCACAGCTGAGGGAGGTTGGAGAAAGGAGGCCCATGACTGTGGACTTGAAGAGGCTGTGGACTTGAACGGGAACTTGGGGGCAACAGTAAGGAGACCTTCAGGTAGCACTTTGTCCTAAAGCTCCTTCCGCCCTGAGAATGGAACAGTGGATGCAGTAACCCCATTGTATGGAGACTGGCTCAAGCCAGTTGTTTTCATTTTGTTGGGAGGCAACTTGTGTGAGGGGGTCAACTGCACCTATCCTGGGGACGGGATATGGACATGCTTTTCCTTAGCGCTGCCATTCTTTTTGTCCTGCACGAATAAGATTGCTCGGGTGAGCCGGAGGCAAGAAGAACCGTTTTTACTTTTCATAGCTGTGGGCCAGGAGAAATCAGGAGCTGATGGTTTACTTTAACCTCGAAAGTAAAAATGTATGTATTTGTTTCACTACAGGTTCAACAGTAAAATGAGTAACAGCAAAGTGTATGTTTGTTGCCTCCTGTCTTTTCATGACAGGGTGCTAACAGAATGAAGTGTGTTCCTATTCTCAACCAGAGCTTCATTCATTTGCTAACCATGAGGAACATTATATTGATCTTAAACCCTGAGTATGTCCTGTATTTGGATGGTGCCTTGGAGACTCAGGCTAACCTTACTGCTTCTTTTGCACACCCGGTGAAAAGTCGGTGAAGAAGTACAGCAGGTTAAGGACCCACAACTTTGGAAAAGGCACATGATGTGAAACTGGGGTACTCTGTTAAAAATAAATGTATGAGGGGCGCCTGGGTGGCTCAGTCAGTTAAGCATCTGACGTCGGCTCAGGTCATGATCCCAGGGTCCTGGGGTGGAGTCCCGCATCAGGTTCCCTGCTCAGCGGGGAGTCTGCTTCTCCCTCTGCCTGCCACTCGTGCGCTCTCTCTCTCTCAAATAAATAAATAAAATCTTGAAAAAAATAAATGTATGATTACTTTAAAAAAAGGATGCAGAGGGCACCTGCTTACTCGGTATAATGTGCAACTCCTGATCTCGGGGGTTGTAAGTTTGAGCCCCATGTTGGGTGTAGAGATTACTTTAAAATAAAAATTTTTTAAGGAGGCAGTTAGTAAAACAAACAAACAAACAAACAAACAGAAATAGTAACTTAGCAGAACGAGAAAGATAGAAGGCAGTAGGCAGTCTCCTGTCACCTGGTCAGGCCTTGGGAGATGCTAACAGTTTTAAATTCAACAACTGTCATTTTCACTTTCTCTTCTAAGTGATAGCCTTTCTCCACTGTACTGTTAAAAAAAATTCAACCAAATAATCTTGAAAATCTAATTGGCTTTCTTTCTTTCCTTTTTTTTTTCTTTTTAGAGAGAGAGAGAACATGCACGAGGGCAGGAGCAGCAGGGGGAGAGAGAGAATCTTAAGCAGGCTCCACGCTTCTGAGACCCTGAGATCATGACCTGAGCTGAAATCAAGAGTCAGACACTTAACCCACTGAGCCACCCAGGTGCCCCTGAAGTGATTCTTCTTTCTTAAGTGATTTAAAAAAAATTTTTATTTATTTATTTGAGAGAGAGAGAGAGAGAGAGCATGCACCAGCAGGGGGAGGGGCAGAGGAAGAAGGAGACTCCCTGCTGAGCAGGGAGCCCAATTGGGGGCTCCATCCCAGGACCCCGGGATCATGACCTGAACTGACTGAGCCACCCAGGCGCCTCTCTTCAGTGATTCTTGAGTAGATTCCCTGTGGCAAGTACAGATGCTCAGAGGAACTGTACGAAGGTCCCATTCTGGGCAGGACAGTGGTGGGGCAAGAAGTCATTAGCAAAAGAAAAGAAAGGATCAGTTTAGGCTAGGTCATCTTCTTGTGGGGGGGAAGGGAATGGTAGGTTGTTTATCACACAGATTATCACGCAGATTTCAGTACTAGTGCTGATCAGGACGTTTCAGATTGTTAAAAAAGTCACATTCCTGGGAGAGGTGGAAACTAAATTTTGGCTTGCTGTCATGGGGGGGGTGACTCCAATTTACACTTGTTTTTCTTCTTTTTTTAACAATATATTAACTTAGTTCGACTTGCTGATGTTCCTCAGATTATAGTTTATCTTGTTATAATTATACCAACGTTGGTTGATTCCTGCTTTCTTAATTTGTTTTTTATTCTTTAGCCTTATGGAATTTTGCAAATTACAAAAGTAGTAAATACCTGCCATACACCAACACAAATGGTACAGAAGTGTATTAAAGAGAGTTAAGTCCCCCTGCATGTGCTATAGGGTAATCGGGTAAGAGCTTGGTGTGCATGTGTGCACCCTTCCTTACATTTTCTTCCTGCTCAAATATTTGTTTATATGGGGTTTTCCCCTCCCTCTCTCCCTTCGTTCCTTCCTTCTCTTAAAAATGGAGTCACTTATGCTAAACCCCACCAGAACTTGGTACCTAATCTAACTGCAGCTCCCCAGCTTCTCCCAGAAATGTGATCTTTAACCAGACAGGCTGGAATTTTTCTGGTCAGCGTTAGGAGCTGATGGACCCTTCCATTCCCCTTAGGAGGGCTGCCTTGCCTAAGACAATGCATTCTTTGCCAATAATACTACCCTACCCACCCCCATCTTGAAAAACCTTTTCTTTTTGGCAGCTCAGTGGAGCTCCTTACCATTTGCTAGATGGGATGCTGCCCAATTTGTGAATCGCTAGATAAAGCCAATTTGATCTTTAAATTTACTCTGCTGAATTTTTATTATTGAATCTTCCCTCCTTTTATTATTGAAGCTTCCCTCCTTCCCTCCTTCCTTCCTTCTTTTCTTCCTTCCTGCCTTTCTTTTAAACAAAAATGAGATAATTCCTTGGGAGAGCTATCTGAAAAGCTGTTAATTAGGTTATCTCTAGGAAAGGAAACTGGGAGACTTGGGAACAGAAGTCCAAGGGAGATTGACTTTTGACACTGCCCTTTTGTGTTATATAGGGGCCAAGGCCGACTAGCTGAGCTAAAAACAATCAAGGCCCAGAGGATTCTGGAAGAAACTTTGACCTTCCCCCCAAAACTGCCTAAAAGAATTTAGATTAGGGGCCTGTTCCTGGACGGGAGCTATTATACATTATAATATGAACTTGGTGTGGTAGACAGGGAGGAATTTAGCAAGGCC